ACAGAACCGCCGGTCGAGGAGAAGGTGTGACTTCGCGGTGCCAGACCGTACCCTGGCTTCGGGATGTGCCGAAGGGAGCTCACAACTGGTTTCAAATCAGTCAATCGACAGTATTACTGATTAGTGTAAACGGGAATAGTGGAAATCTTTCATTCCCATACGAATGCCCAACGTTCGCCAAGTACAAAAAAATACAAGAAAAAAGAACACACATTCTGTGCATAAAATAATTATACGGAGGTGGTTTTGATCCCACTCGTGTACAAGATTCGAATCATCGAGAGATTTCATTTTATCCTCTTCTTTTTCTTCTTCTTCTTCTTCTCTTTTTACGTACGTTTTATCTCACTTCACGAACACGAGAATTCAGATTTATCTTTGACAACCTTTTTTCTTTTTTCTTATAAAGAAAGAAAGAAAGAAAGAAAAGATCGTCAAAGATGAAAGAGAAGAGGAATAATTAAAAAAAAGAAAAGAAAATTTAAAAGCTATCGTGTAAAAATATCCTCATTGTTCGAGTTTTCGTTTGTCGATCTGTTTATAACGCATCCCCACGGCAAAATGGTGGAACGTATATCCGATGTTCAAAGTGCGCAAGCATTTATTTCTCGTTTAATACTGTGCAAGGTAATACGTAACAATGAAAAAAGGTAAATATATATATATATGTAATGTAATTATATATAAAATATATTATATTTAAAATGTATATACGAAGAAGCCAACACCTGTGTGTATATGTAAAATACGATCAACGTACGCTTCTCCAAATAAGCTTAAGAGAACAAAAAGCATTCCTCCCGTGAAGACAAGTCAACGAATCGTGTTTCTTTTCGATCTTTATTACGCGACGACTGCTCTTGAGAAGTCTCGTTCTTTTTTCTCCCGTTTCAATACGCTGAAAAACGAATCTCAGACCGATGAAATTTGCTCGCAGCACACTGCCGCATTGTAAGGATAACAGAAAGAGATTTTCTGCCTCTCTTTCTTTGTGTTTTTTTTTTTTTCTTTCTTTTTTTACGCTAATTTTGAACTTGACTTGAGATCAACGGTAGGTGAATTGGAAAGTTCTCGGACTCACCGAATGATAGTGCCTAGCGGCGTTTGGAAGAGTGAAGGCGCGTTGAGTACCAAGGGGTGGATAGTTTCTGGGAGCCGGGGAACGTGCCGATGACCTCCCAACTGCCGCCCACGCAAACACAACACAAACACAAAAACACAAATAGAGACACGATGATACAGGTAGCAGTGTTGGCTAACGTAGATAGCGGTAAATCCTATCGACTTTTTTTGAATGTTTCCAACATTGGAAGATATGCGTTCAACCAGGCCAAAATATACCACGAAAATATGTCAGCCTACTAGATACGTATATATATACGAAATACGTATATAATATTGTATATAACAACAATCTTCCTTTTCCTTTTATACGCAAAGCAATAATATAATAAAAAGTTTATGCAGTGCTGAAAATATACAACTGTCATGCGGCGAAATGAAAATTTATACAAGTTAATATATATAGCACGAAATTGATAATGTACATATTTCCGAGCGCGTATGTATGTATTGCGATTATCTTCCAATATTGTATAGTAATTAAAAAAAAAAAAAATAAATAAAATAAAATAAAAAAAAAAACATTCCATAAAAGTATGAGAGAGAATGAAGTTTGGAGCGATATGTGTTCGTGTATGAATGAATGAGGTTGCCAAGAGTGAAATTTACAATAGATATAATATTACCATGCGAGAAAGGGAGAAAGAAAGGAAGTAGCAAAAAATATTATCTAAATAATGAATCGTATGTATAAACATATTGATGAATAATCACGCACGAAATAATGGAAATCGATATTACGCTACTTGAAAAGGATGAACTTTCCACGCACGCTATTTCTGTTACTCGTATTTTGGCGTATTAAAGAAATAATCGAGAAAGATAAGAAGAGGCAAGCACATCGAAGGTAATATTGCCGACCACATGCAGAAGCGGAATAAATACATCACCTGTCACGTTAATGGGCGCCCAGTGTATGCTGTGGTATTTGGTGCTATGCCACTTAACTTATAAACTCCTGCTCGAGTTTACACGCACAGTGTGTTATCGTTCGTTAATCGAGCATCATCACCCCTTCCCACTGCAAGATTCGTACGTTGCAACGTTCCGTTCCACGATAAAGGAGATTTTTTTTTTTATTTTATATATTTCTTTCTTTCTTTCTTTTTTTTTTGTAATATGAAAGGGATTTTTTTTGTTACCCCCACCCCTACTATCGTCTCGAAATTTAACGAGCCGATGTTATACAATAAATAAACGATAGAGTGGTAAATGTTAGTGTTATGTGCGAACGTGTGGACATGTATGAGATGATTATCACTTAATGTTAATGAAACGATCATGAAATATATATATAAATATAAAGTGACGAATAGATTGGTTACACATTTAAAAGGAACTTACCGTTGTAACTAGGTCCTACGCTAGATCTATAACTGAAACCATCATCGTCCTCCCACGGTCTGGCGTGATCTATGTTCCTCGAAGGCGCTACGCGAAAATTAAATTTATATAATTTAAATACACTTATCATCAAAGTGGAACGATTAAAGAATGAATCATGATAACTCACAAGCGCCAACTGGACTCTCGTATCGCAGTCTATAAGTCGGTTCTCTGGCAGCTGATGGCGTTCTCGACGCATTTCTAGGATCAACGTTCGCGGCTCTGTGTCTCAAATTCTCTCGATCCTTTTCACGATCTTGCAAAAACACTTTCGCTATTCCAGTATCGATTTTGCTCAGCTCGTCCTGTTCTTTCTTCAACTTCTCCTCCACCTCCTTTATATAAGTTTTGTTATCCACCTCGTCCTCGTCGTCGGATGCAGGTACTCCCTGAATCGAATATCGAATCAGATAGATAAAACGTGCAGAGAGCTTAAGAATATCGTGTCGTCGCAATTCGTCGTGTTACCTTATAAGTGTCGGACCATCGTCTACGTCTTTCAGGATCTGTATAAGGATAAGGTGGAGCGGGAAAATCATCTCTCTCGATCGGCGGTTTGGTTCCAGGAGGAGGTTTCATGGCGTCCGGATAATGCGCCAACTCTATTGGCTCGTCATTATCTACTTGACTGGCCGGTGACTTTGGTCTGGTCTCGCTGAGAGCATCGACCAGAGCACGCATTCCAGATCGGCTGCTGCGTCCGCCACTGCTTCTTATCGAACGTGACGCTAAAATAAAATCATCGCATGATTTAGCGACGCGTATATCACGCACGATCCGGTTCCGTTTAAATATTTTATGATATTTAATTCTATTGCACACACAATTCTAATACAACTCTACAGAATTTAATTTTTATCAAAATTCTGTTTCTTTCGATCTCGAGAGAAATAAAGATGAATACCACTTACAGCTAGGTCTATGAAAGTGTGGGCTAGTCGGAGGTTTGTCGTACGGCTGTATCGGACGTCTCAAGTATCCTTGGGTCGGCGTTTCGGTCAAGTACGAATAAGTATAAATCCTAGACACATCTTCGGATGGACCACGTCCGTATTCTCGCAATATCAATCCGGGACTTCCAGTTCGCGCGGGATAATACTGGGGCAATTAACGTATATTATCACGGCTAAACTCATGCTGTTTCTTTTTCGATCAATCTTAAAGCGTCTCTCATACAGCTAAATTTACTCGGCAAAGGAATATAAAAACTCAACGCGCTTTGATTCTCTCTCAAGAGAAATCCACTGTTTCGAGATATCATTGAAAAATCTTTCGTAATCGCAAAAGCTAGCTTCGTTAAATATTTGAGAATAAATTAGCATAATGAGTCATCTTAGATGATGAAATTTATCATCGATAATAATTATTAAAACCATTATATTCGTGACCATCTTATCTTTTAGGGAATTTTTAATTCAAAATCATTTTTAAGTAACCAAGGAAATTACGTACACTTATATCTGACTTTCTATTTACTATTAAATTATATATTTATACTATTAAATTTCAATAAGATCTTCTCACTTTTTTTAAAAATATTTCTACTTCCGATAGAGATGCAAAGTAAATAGAAGAATAATCAAAAATTTACAAGGCAGCATCGTCCATCAACGATGTAAAAATTTCGAAGCTAGCTGTTACAAAATGAAATCAGGAATACGGATCATAAATATTTTAAAATATTTCATAAATAAATAAAAATGTCTCTTGAGAGAATGGCTGTGCTAGGAGATACATGGCATACCTTGCGACTGAGGCTGCTGTAAGGGCTGCAGAGTGATCCGTTCAGGCTTGGCGTGCGTGACCGCAATGAAAACTATACACAATGATCGTGCGAAAAAAAAAAAAGATAAACAACGATTAAGAAAGCAACAATAAAAATAAAAAAATAATAAAGAAGATCAAATCATAAATGGTAAATCGTTAAAATATATATATATATAAATATGTATATGTATAATATATGTATATAAAATTTTGGGCATCGAAGCGTGCTATAAAGATACGACATGTTAAGGAACATATGCATGTTAAAAGCCACATAATGTATCATTGAATACAATGGGAACGAAGCTATACACAAAGCTAATTACGAATAAAAAAAAAAAAAAAAAAAAAAAAAAAGGAAAAATCTTAAAAATATATATATATAAATATGTATATGTATAATATATGTATATAAAATTTTGGGCATCGAAGCGCGCTATAAAGATACGACATGTTAAGGAACATATGCATGTTAAAAGCCACATCATGTATCATTGAATACAATGGGGACGAAGCTATACACAAAACTAATTACGAAAAAAAAAAAAAGAATAGAAAGTACTTTGGGCTCTAAATGGGTCTACTTAAAATTGTTTTGGAAAACAAGGAAAAAAAAAAAAAAAAAAAAAAAAAGAATAGTAAGTACTTTAGGCTCTAAATTGGTCTACTCTAAATTGCTCTGTATAACAACGGACACAAAAATGAACCGAGCAGCAAAAAACGTTTCACATGAAAGTACGTGTCGTACAACAGTCCAAATATAAGCACGATGCAAGCTGAACTTCGTATTTCGCGAGCCAGAGCTGGCTCGAGAACAATATATTTCCTCTTGGTTATTTTTCCCCCCTTGTTTCTCTTTTTATTTCCCCCCTGCCGCCTTTTTTCATTACGATCGAATGACAAACTTCAAAATTCAAGTATGCGCACAGACACGATTTAGGTCGATCAACGGTGTACGATGCAATTGAACGGAAAAATGCAATTGGCGGACGTGGACAGCGACGTGCACGCGTTAATTACGAATGTCGATGTTCGAGATGAATGTTATTTGAAGCAATTAATCACGCGTTGTCGAATACATAAACGGATGATATTAGATATTAACGTACACGTCCGTACGGAAAATGTTAATGACACCTTTCCCTCCGCGACGTATTTAATGATCCATGACTATCGTGATTACAGGGGGAAAAAAAATGAATACTAAAATAGTTATGAATAATCACAAAAATAAAACAAATGATGAAACAAATGCAGTGATCTGTACACAGACACGAATGTACACGTATGATACAATATTTTACAAAAACTAAATATAATACACAGTTGGCCAGTTCCGATTCAAAAATTCGCGGTTAAACGAATTATAAAAATAAAAAAGAAATCGCGACTAATATTCGAATCCTATTTGACTGCTCATCGATCGACTGAAAGTGACCGTAACATCGACGGAAGTAGTCGGACAGTCGATGACCTTAATTGAACTTCCGACTTTCCTCCGATCCCCGCTATCTTACCTGCATCTCCGATGCGCTGCTGGAAATCCGTTCTGATTCTCGATGCTGTGGCGTGTGAGCTTCTCCGTGGCCGTTCACGATACCATTGGGTCCGCTAGGACCCGGGCCACAACGGGGATGCCAAATGGCAGCGCCCTGC